ATGATGACTAGTAGCCAGCCATCTGTATCCTATCAGGGTAAGATTTCCAGAGCTCCTTAAGGCCAATAAATTTTGCCCACACCTGGTGGCATCAAACAACTAAATAAATAAATAAATAAATATCATGATGACTAATAGCCAGCCATCTGTATCCTATCAGGATAAGATTTCCAGAGCTCCTTGAGGTCAATAAATTTTGCCCACACCTGGTGGCACGTGATTGCCACTCCATAAGGAAATGAACTTCCACAATGTACACTTTGGAAAGATGGACTCAAAACGGAAAACTTCCATGCCAACTTTCTACTTCACAGGAGCAGCTGCTTGCAGCTAACAGGGCAGGTAAAGAGAAAAACTGCTTAAGGAAGAGCAACGTTTTTCTTGTAAAGATAAGAATCCCACAAAGTAACTCCACAGGGCGGGCGAAGGTGATGCTTTGATGACTCACCGCATTGTAGAACCATCTTTCACTGGTTGCTATCTTACTACAGTTCCTCGTCGTTTCTAAGAGACCATTCTCCTCTGCTACCAGCCTCTGAAAATCTGAAATCTTCAACCAAGTCCCTTGATGCCTGTCCCGATTCCACCCCCACCCACCCGGCCAAGACTGTAGACTGGTGGACAACACCTTCCATAGGGAACTCCTTCCAGGTTGGCTCTAGACCTGCAGATCAAACCTGCAGATCAAACCGCACAGGGCCTATGGCCTTTAAAACTGGGTTCACTGGCTGTTCAAACGAGCTGTCGTCTATTTTTAAACACAGTTTCTATATGTCAAATTGCACATTCCTTGGTTAGTCCTGCTGGGTGGAAAAGGCATGAATACTTCCATAAATGAGTAGCTTTACCATCCTCTCGGGTAAAAATCCAGGCCTTCCTCCAACAGGTTCTGCTTGGCTCCTTTTGACCTGAATTCACCCTCCAGCCGTGCCAAAGCAACTTGTATTTTTAGAATTCCACCATGACCTAATCTGGCATGTTTGGTTGTGGGTTACACCGCTTCGCTCCATGACCGGTCTGGAACACCACTAATAAGGAAAGCTTTCTGTCGTGGTTTTTGTTCACATTGGGGGTGGTGGTGGTGGACGTCATTTCTTCCTTAACATTCGCACTACTTGGTCTTGTATGTGGATTGTCTTGAGATACAGGAATCGACTGGAACTGTTGCTCAAAATAGGTGGCATGACATTAGGGAAGAGCGCATAACGGAGCGGGAAAAGGGTGCCAATTGCATAGCTGGACGTGCCTTTTGCCAAGATTCTTCAGATTTTCAACATTGATACACTCAGACGCAAGGGATATCCTTACTAGATTACAGCAGCTTTTGCAGTCATGGTTAAATGTCATACCAAGCTTTCAGCAGTTGGGAGTAGAGTGAGCAAAAACAATATACCAGCATTGCAAAAATAACATGGGTGGAGACAAGGGAAGCCCAGAAAAGAATCTGGGCTCCCATCCAAGCAAATTGTATTTCAACATTTGACCCCTTCCCTTTTCTCCCAGGTTCCTCCCAGGGAGACCTAGCTAATGTTCTCCAGCTATTTTTTTAAACCACTTCTCATTACAATTGTATAACAATCTAGACCCCAAACTGTTTTGGAGGTGTGTCCCCACCCCATTTTCAGAGGTCATTTCCTGTTATTTTCTTCCTTATTTCAAAACTGTTCTTCACTGGAAGGATTTGGAGGTGAGAGTAGCCTGGAATGTCACAGTAAAAACAAACAAACAAAGCAAAGGTCCCAAATCAAAGCAAGCCAGGGGTTATCAGAAAGGAAGGTATGCCTCTTAAGGACCGGTGGACCGAGTGGTCTCTTGAACTGGAAGGTTACGTGCTTCCCAGGAGAACTGCAAATGTTGTGGGGAATATTTGAAACGCCTCCCTGGTCCTACAGCTGACCCAAAAGAAAATTGGCTTACACACCCTGATAGATCCTCTTAACTGACCCCACAGCAACATAACCATTGCTAGAGATGCTCTGAAAGAGGAGGGTTTTATGCCATGAGCTGTAGTTGTGATCCATCACTGTCCCCTTTGGGGAAAGAATCCATGAGGGACATTCTTTCCAAACCTGAAGCTCTAGAGATGCTCTGAAAGAGGAGGGTTTTATCCCATGAGCTGTAGTTATGATCATGAAAGACATTCTTTCCAAACCTGAAGCTCAGGTTTCTGGGAACTCTAGTCCAAGAATATCTGGGGCCCCAGCTGAGAAACCACTGAGATAGACTGTTCCTTCTCCACAAGCCCTGGGTTGGCTGCGTGTGCAAATTCCAGGGACCACTTTTCTGGGTGTGACTTCTTATAGACTCTGCGGAACAGGCACAGATTGTGGGCAACAAACAACCTTTCTATTCTGTTTGCAGAGGACGATGGATTAGGTGGAACTTGGTGAGTGTGTGTTCTGAGCCATTATGTCAGAACTGACATATAATGGCCCAAATAGGGCTGTCAAGGGGAGATATTTAATGAGTGGTTTGACCAGTTCTACTTCCCTGGTGAGTTTCCAAGTGGCCAAGTGGGAATTTGAGCCCTGTTCTCCAGAGTCCTAGTCTGTCGCTCTAGCCACACCACACCAGGAACTCCCAAAACATTCTTGAACAGATGGGTTATACTTTATGGTACCTAGGGCATACATTCTTGGCTTGTAAATGCAAAGCATCAACAGTCCAGCACAACTTCAGCCCTGCCTGCTGTCAATAGCCTTGGATGCCCCTTGATGACCGTCTTCCATTAAGGTTGGGCTTCCATCGTCTACCATTAAGTGGGATGTCTTAATCAAGTGACTCATCAGCTACCGCACACTCCAAGGATCCCCATACAGAAGCTTTTGTGCAAAAACAGAAGCAGGCTCTAGCAATCTGATATGTTCAGGGCCGTTGCTCTTGCAAAATCTTTTCGTTTAGAGAAGGTCATGGAACATCAACAGAAGTGGCTGCCAGGTAGGTCTGTGGTTATAACAATGTCGTCTTTTCTCTCTTTAGGCAGAGGGGAATTTCTGAAGAAGCAAAGCATGTGTGTAGCGATCACCCTGCTTTGGCTCAGGTAGAAGATTATTGGCATGTACCAATGAGAGCAATTGGGAGGCAGAGCCTGAGAAACTAGAAAGGAGGAGTGAGTCAAAGTCTAGGGAGTTCAGTCAGAGACAGAGTGGTTTCTTTTTTAAAAGGAGTTCGAGGCGGCTCAGGTAGTTAAGGAATGATTAGTCAGAGTGTGACCTGTATTAAGACAGGTTAACGTAAAATACTGAAGCTTTGTTTGACTTTAAGAATGTGCTTAAGAACTATTCCTAAAACAACTTGTAGCCAATAAGGCTGTTTCTGTTTAAAAGTTCAGTACCGAATGGACCTCGGTCTTTCATAGGAAATATACGTTGATAGAGAGATCAACGGGTGGCAGCGTGTTAAAGGGCGTGTTGGGATACCCTCGTGAGCTCTGGGTTTGGTGAAACAAGAAGGGGCCACGGGGTAGATGCCACAACGTGTTTGGAAGCTAATTCTGCAACAGTTGGCGTGCTGCATGCGCTAAAAAGCAGCACGGTAGTGGAAGCAAGGACCCGCTGGAAACGGCTCATTCCCTCCTCTGCTAAGCCCTGGCAGGCATTTGCGATGACGCAGAGCTACATCTGAGATGCTGTCCGCACAACACAGCTTGAAATTTACTTTGAAAAGGTCACCACTTACCATTACAGTTCAGGGGTAAGGAAGGCGCAACTAAGTTCCCTTCCAAAAGCATTGTAATAAGCAGCTCGGCTATTTTCTATTGTCAAAAGCAACTTTTTCTACTTACTTGCCAAAATAACTTTAAAAGGATATTTTAAGGCATTCTGAGATGCCTTTTACAGAGGGGGAAATTTTATGCCACTCTCCACATTCTTGTGGCAAGCAAAGAATTGTTTTATTTTGTTCTTTGCTTTTTCAAGTGCAATATCAGACTTGGCCACTGGAGGGTACTGCATATTAATCATCCTCCTGAGCCATCAAGTCAATTCTTGACTTTTGGTGACTCTTTTCCAGGTATTTTCTGGGTAAAGAATACTCCGAAAGTGGTTCATCATTCTCTTTTTCTGGGAGTGGTCCGGGACTGTGCAGCTTGCCCAAGGCTACACAGGTTGGCTCTACTTGTAGGAGGCATGCCGGGGGTGGGGGACACACATCAAAGCCAGATACTTTAATCACTGAGCTATCCAGCTCTCCTTATAGCTACTTGTAGGAGGCATGCCGGGGGTGGGGTGGGGGGACACATCAAAGCCAGATACCTAAACCACTGAGCTATCCAGCACTCCTTATATTTTTCTGGCTCTGCTGGAAACTGCAATACAATAGGAACAGTCACCTAACGTCCCCTAAGCCCTGAGTAACAATTAGTTTTGTTCCAAGCTTTGGAAAGGAACAGCTAGAGTTAATCACAAGAGGAGTGATGGTATCAATTATGTTACCTGTGCAATCTAACATAGGTATGACTTAAGTTATTGCATCTTAAATACAAGTAACTAACCTTTTCTAATAGTTATTTCCAAGCTCCAGGATACACACAATTACTTGTATCCCTAATAGCAATAATACTAAGATTTGCATCTGTGGAGACTTCTCAAGCCTGCTATTGATGTATCTTCCAAAATACCACCGGCATGTTGTAGTTGGGGCCCAAACTAAAAATCTGTTGCCAGGTGTTTATCTCCCGACTCTGAATTCAGTAATGTGCTTTCACAGGTTAAGCCAAATCCTGCGAGGCAAATGAAGTTCCCATTGCTAAAGTTTCAAGATGTGGGGGAAGGGGGGGACTAGCAATTTTGTCATGTTTTTGCACTGCAAAACACTGACAATGTACTCAGTGGTGAGTTTATACGATTGCCTATAGAGCCCAATCGTCACCAAGGCCATAGTAACCTTTAAGTATAAATTTGCCTCGTGTAGAACTTAAATCTCCTCATGGATCTTGTAAGTTTCCAAGCAGTTTGTGTCAGCTCTGCCAACCATTCCGATAATTAACCATTCCAAGCCAGTCAAAAATAGAGACATGTTTTTTTCCAAAAGGTTTTCATCAATACAAATCTGTAAAAGCAACATAACTTAAGTGAATAAAAAGGAATGTGCTACATCCTTTGAATATTCACTTTTTTATATATACAAAAAAGATTTAAGTCTTAACTATTCACAGACGCTCATGTGCATCTTTAAATTCACAACCCAAACGACAAAACTCAAAGTGCATTGCGCCCCCATCCCATCCCGCTTCCACAAGCTGCTCAGCCCAAATCGAGCACCAAAGCGGACAGAGCGTTCATGTCCCTCATGTGGGGATGGTGAGCGAGGATCTCCTCGATCTTCTCCCTCTGCTCTGAGGTAGGGAATATTTTTCCCAAGGCTTCTTTCAAATGCATGGTCTCTGTCGCAGAGCGTGGATGCGGGGGGATGGATGATTTAGCCTGGGGCGCCGGCGGAAAGGTGGGCAAGATGGGTATGAGGCCGGGCAAGGGGCTCTTTGGCGATGGTCCGTGACCCTCCGGCTGCATCAGGAAATGGGATGTCCCCCAAACGCTTCCAAGGTTATGCTGGGACGAGATACCTCTAGGGACAAAGAACAGCATCCGTTACGAAAAGCAAGAGAGACACGATGCCAAAACCAGATGTTTTTAAATCCTCCGTGTGGAGCAGGCCCCAATTTAATCTTTCAAAGCAGCTGCTTTGGTTTTCAAATCTTATTCCCATTTTGATATTGTCCTCATGTCCAGATTTTCTTTATAAACGGATACAAAACAGCTCTCTCTTTCTGTTTTATGGATTAGGGAATGATGGCATGAAGCACGATGCTTTCGACCTCGGCTTTTATAACCCCGCCTCAGACCCAGGAGACTCCACTTACTCTTGCGCTCTGTTGAGTTTAAGTCAGCCCCCGGGGTAAGAAATAAAATTGACTAGAGGGCTGCAAAGACCTAGTAGCTAATTTGCATTTCTGCTCCACTGCTTTTCTCCCTAGCCTCATCCCAAGAAAAAAAAAATTGTATCTCTCCTCCGTAATGGAAACTTAAGAATATCTTAATTCCAAACAATCAATCAATCCTCAAAATCAATAAAAATGTTAAGTAGTTCAGGTTCAAGTTTGCTGTTTTGAAAACACAGCAGAATTTGTGACTGGGTTGAGGTGCAAACTTATTTCACGTTCAGAGTGCTCTTCAAAAGAGGACTTCTCCGTTTTTGGAGGGTGGGGGCTTTGCTATCATTTGGTTGGTGGTGAGGAGATAGTAAACTTGGGGGGAAAATTGATTTATTTTTGGGCCACAGCTCTCAGAACTGCTGAATTGGCATGGTCATCAGCCCTGCTCGTTGGTGATTCTGGACCCTAGCGGAACATTCTCGCTCTTGGGATTGAGGCGCACGCTTGTAACCGCCGTTCAGAGACTCTGCGGTACATTGGATGGGCCTTCTGAGTTGTGCCAAGTCATCCGAGCAAGGAGGGGGACTTCCTTTGCTTTGAAATGCTCTAAAACCATCACAGATCTTCCAGGCCAGGACTCCTTTTCTCTATCTGTATAATCCTTGTTTGTACCTGGCACCTGGGAAGCAGAACATGATAAAGAACCGAGAGCGGTTCTGGTCTGTACGGCAGAGCGAATGAGGTAATGCCGCTTGTTCCTGTGCAGGCCACAGCAGCTGATCTTCAGCAGCTGACACGCTACCGGCTGGCTTTTTCACGAGACTGTCTCACAGATCCAACAGCTGCGCTCCCCGCTGACGCATCCCGTGTACGCCACAGCCACCACAATCTTGCCTCAGAGGATGTTACTGAGATGTATTAGCTTTGCTCATCTCGCTGCTATGATTCACTTTTCAGGGTAAAGACACAGGGGCAGCTAGGCCGAGGGAAGAGAAACAGGAGAAACATATTCTCATGCACAGGTTGCTGTGCCTTTCTGTGTTCCAGGACCTCCTCCATCCTGCACAGGATCTTTTGGTGTTGCAACTGTGGCAACCTCATGCTTTCCCCCTTTAAAAACAGTAAGAACAGTAAGAGCTTCGAAGACCCAGGAAGCACTCTACCTGAAACGCGTGTCCTCCTCCTGAAGAAACTGTTCTAATCCAGGCCCGTTTCGTCCCATCGGATCATCAGGAACCATGAAGATATCTCCAACAAAGGTATACGGGAGTAGCCTGTGACAAGGGGAGGCGGTGGCGGCGGCCAAAGGAAGAGGATGCAAGTAGGAAAAGTGACACCCAGATTTAGAAAAGAGCAGAAATCGCTTTACTCATACGACATAAAACCAGCGATGGTATCCTTAAAGTTCCCCCTGGCAAGGAACCAAGAACCCAGGGAGCTCTCCGACAAACAAACAAACTGCCGGTGTTTCTAACCCAGCCTTGTCGACACATGGGGTCCTTCCCAACGGTGGCATCAAACTTCCTTTTGCTCAAAGATGGCAAAGGCTGAGCCAGGAATTTTCCGCAGGGAGCACACATGCACGGCCACTTTGGGCGCTATGACATGTGCACTCTGCAGCTGTCCTTCTACACTAAAAGGCAGCTTCACCAAATCTACCAGAGTTGAATTCTAGCTGAAGCCCAATGTACATTTTAGAGCTTCAGTCCCCTCCCCTTTTTTTCATACATATTGGTCAGAAATGAGCTGAAATGGGAGCGAATCATCCATTATCGTATCTTTGAAATACAGACTACAGATGTCTTTAAAAGAGACACAGGGTCAAAAGCTTTCATTTTGGAATCCCTGAAGGCTTGTCGTGGACAAATTCCCTGTGGAACGAGGTCAAAAATTAGCCAGCATTTGCAGTTTGTAGTGCTAGCTCGGATGTGTTGATGCTATTGGCCCCAACGGAATCGAATCTGTGCCATAACAAACCAAAAACACATTTGGAAACAAGAGGCATTTGGAAATCTAGATGACAAATCGCTACCATTACAACTTAAAATGCTTCCAACAAACGTATCAAGAGAAGACACACAAAGAGAGAAGAAACCTGACAAACAAAAGATGGTTTGATCAGATGACCGGGTGACTGCAGTAACGGTGCCAGGAAGAGGATGAAAATGAGGAGGGAAGAAATCTCTACACGTGTGGGAAAAAGCACCTCGCTTTTTAGTTCACCTGCTTTGCATAAAGGAAGTACGAGCTCTCCCACATCATCACAGTGGCCCCTTTTGTGTTGAAAAGATGGGGGTGACGAAGTGAGGATTTTTTCACACTGCCCCTAACTTTCTTCAAAGCTCATGCCAAGGCAAAGCAGGGATACTGATGGCTCCTCTGCTGGTCTGGTGGCCTTGGATCAGAGCTTGGAAAAGGTACGCCCTTGACCTGAAGCCCCCAAAACCTCCCAGCCAGTCAGCCGGCCACGTTAGCTGGAGATTCTGGGAGACGGAGAGCAGATGTAACTTTCCCAAATAAAGGACTTGGCAAGTGCTGGGTTTCGTCCATCTCCTCTATCTCACAGGGATACAAAAAGATTCCTTCAAAAAGTTGGGATGTTTTAGTAAGCAGGGGAGATGGGATTTTAATGGGAATCTATTCCAGCTGCTCATTGAGCCAACGGCTTTTGTCACCATTGAGAGACTGGGTGGAACTTGGCACCAGAGGAACTGATTCTGTGAATCAAAGCTTTGTCATCGTTTGCTTTTTTTCTTTTTTAAAAGGAAGTTTCCAGATCTCACGGAGAAAAAGAAAAACTCAGCTGACCTGTGTTTGCTGAAGGCAGCGGACACACAGCGGGATACTGGGACGATACTACTTAGGAACAGAAGTTTATCCTTTGGTCAGCAGCAGCAACCTGATGAACCGGGCACAACCCAGATGCCGGCTTAAGTCAGGCAAGAAGCCTCCGGGGGGCCCAGAGGAACAGCCCACATCGTGTGCCCCACGGCAAAGCGCAGGCTTGGTGTGCAGAAGGTCCCCCAGTTCAAGTTCCAGCATTTCACTGAAAAGGACCCGAGTTAAGAAGTGACAGGAGCAACGGTCTGCTTCAGGATAGGGCATACTCATCCGTGTTCTTCTCCCTAATATTACAGAAGCAACATGGGAGGATGGCAGGTTGGACCCATACTTTTTTTTAAAAGACAAAAGGCCCTCTGCTGCACATGGCAGTGTCCACGGCTGCATTTTATTGACCACTGGTATGGGGAGAGGACGTGCACATCAGCCTTGTATGTATTCTTTGTGCGCAGAAGAGCTTCCAAGAATCTGAGCGTGATAATAAGGTGGGGCTTGCTTCGATATTGTGCTTGCTAACTGAGGTTTATTTCAGTCCCAGTATAATCCTCTCAGTATAGCCTAATCAACCGCACACTTGACCTTCTTTCTGCCAGGTTTGTAACGACAAACACACTTACCGCCTCTGAATAATTTCTCTCCAAGAGGTGGATTCACCCACAAATTCTCTGAGGTTATCGTTGGTAACAATGACTCCTCCAGTCTTCTCAGCCAGATGCAGCAGAAACCTATGACAAAGTTTGTGAACAAAAATCAGTGTTCTCATCCTGAACAAACACGAACCAAGAGGCAGTTTTTTTTTGGATGGGAGGCTGGTAAAATGCTGTAAAGCAAGAGATGACTGTTTTTGCAACCCACTGGAAAACCTGGACAGGCGAAAATGGCATGGGGCCACTTCCAGTACGGTGAGGTGATTCTGTGCGGCCATCCCAGACCTAACCAGAAGGATGTTTTCTGGCTGCATGTGTGAAAGTGGGTCTTTAGTTTCATGGGAGTCTCACTGAAATAAATTTCTGCACCCTGCAGCATGCATTAACCCACTGGTAAGTTTTTTTTTTAAAAAGGAAACTCAGCTGATGACAACAGATTAGGTGGGGAAGGATTTCAGTATCACAAAACTGGCTTTTAATCACAGAAGCCAGCTGGAAGGAGTGACCAGCAACCTTTTTGACACTTTATAACACTGAATCTGGAACTGAACAGTGTTATGTAGGCGTCTGGCTCTAAATCAACCTTCCCCAAGCCATCTTCTCATTGAATGGCAAAAAGATTTGTCTGGACTGCTCGTGGTTACATTAGGTCTCCACTTGCTTGGATATTCCTATATATTTTTTTAAAGTAAAAGAGTACCTAAAAACACAATGCACTGCCTCCTGTTTGAATTAGTACAGTCTGTTCTATCAGCGTCTCCTACTGCAGGTTCAAATATAGGCCCCTACAGAGCACAGAAGACAGAATAATCTCATTAAAAAGTTTTGCATGTTAGGGGCTCCGGAAAGATAATCGGCACACGTCTTTTCTGCTCTCTGTTTGGAAGGGAGGAGGGAAAACCCTTAATCTTTCTGTTGTACCTTCTGCATTAAGACTAAACAATTAATTTTTTGCCACTCTCTGGTTGGTTTGGACCCCGTGTTTTGATGGTGCAGCAGCAGCTGCATTCCCCCCCCCTTTTTAATTTTGTCTCCTGATTTCTGGATGCTTCTTCAAAATTGATTTGCTTTAATTATGAACTGCTATAATTTGTTTTTACCATCAAACCGCCCTAGGAGCTGGTACAGTTGAAAGAACCCTGTGAATATAGCCAACAAAAATAACCCATTAAAATGCTATCGACTCAGCTTACATGCATATTCATTTGCTGAGGATGCCATTTCTTGAAGGCATGCTATTTTAAAGGTCTCTTCCAGGACAGATTTCTCAATAAATGACTCCTCTCTGAAGGAGCTCAAGAATCACAGACACATCTATCAGCAACAAAAGCTTCTTCTACTACTACTACTACTTCTTCTCTTACCTGTCATCATGAGATGCAATCCTGGCTCCACATACAACCCTTGCAGGTGTGAGGGCCAAAATGCCAACGTCTTGGAGCTGGGTTAAAAAGTACTGTTCTGTGAAAAAAAAATGAAAAGGAGAGGAGGGGAAGAAAAGAGTTTAAAAAAGAGAGACAAAACTTTTAGAAAAAAAAGAGAACATAAACACACACACACATTTATTTTCCTGGAAGAGTAACAAAGACATTAGCGCTCAGTTCCAAGATACTAAAAAGAGATGTACATCTAAATTCATCCCTAAAAAAAGAGAGTGTATGTATTGCAAAACCTATTAAGAGTTATTTTTTGGACGACATCTCCCATCATCCCAGCAAATACAGTCACTGATACGAAAAACCTGCTGGAGATGTTAAGATGACTAAAATAGGCTAGAATAACAAGCAGACTGACCTACTGGTAATGTTTTAGTTGTTTCAGTTTTTATTCCACCCTTCCTTATAGTTCAAGGCAGTGTCCGACATACAGGAAAGGTGTGGGAAATGGTTGGGCTGGTGATCTTAAGAGTTGTTGACCAAAAACCACAAAAGCAAAAAATAATGCTTTACAACCTTGGGTTTACTGATGGCACCATCTCACACCTTCACATATACAGATGTGCCGAGGGTCCTGTGACTTCAGTTACAGTCAGCAGACTCTTATTTGTCTTGTTATATTTAAATCCCACATTTCCCCCAAAGATTTCAAGTTGGTACATATCGTTCTTCTTCTCTTGATGAGAAATGACTGGGCCAAGCTCACAGAGAGAGTTTAATGGGTGAGAAGATATTTGAATCCAAGTGTCCTGAGACCCAAGTCCAACAGTCTAACTCTTAAACCACACTGGTTTGGAAAAATGAGCCATTAAAGAAACACAATCTTGTTATAGTCCTTACCTGTGATGTTAACATCTCTCCTCGTTCGCCACTGGGGGACAAACACAGTGATCTTCCTATGACCACGTTTCCAAAAGTAATCGACAGCAATCGCAATACCTCGACATGAGAAGAACTTCTGTAGGCCGTGACTGCAAGAAAAAGAGAAGGCATGGTAATATATGCTAACATTTGATTTACAAGAAACCAATGAGATTTGAAAATCAAAATGTGCATCAGGGCAAAAGTTTATCTCAGTCTGAAATCACAATGGCTCGCCCTGAATCTGGCAGTCTTGCTGACCACGGGCCAAAAATTCAGTGATAAGTCACAGCTAGAGTAGGCCCATTGACAGGGATGGAGGTGGCGCTGTGAGTTAAACCGCTGAGCCATTGGGCTGTTGACAGTAAGGTTGGGAGCCACGCAACAGAGTGAGCTCCTGTTGCTTTTCCCAGCTCCTGCCAACCAAGCAGCTGGAAAGCATGCAAAGGCGCATGCCAACCTAGCAGCTGGAAAGCATGCAAAGGCGCGTAGATGATTAGGTACCACCTCGGTGGGAAGATAATGGCGTTCCGTGTCTAGTCATGCCAGCCATGTGATCACAGAAAGAGTCAATGGACAAACGCCAGCTCTGATGAGCATAGGATCTAGTCATGCCGGCCATGTGACCACAGAAAGAGTCAATGGACAAACGCCAGTTCTGATGAGCACAGGGCCTTCAGAATCGGACACAACTGGACTTCATTGTCAAAGGGAACTTTTACCTTTACAGCCCATTGAATCCGTGGTGAGTCAACTCCTCCATAAGTTCCACAGATTCAATGGACCTATTGCAGTCACAACTTATTACCAGATTTCAGCCAACACGTTTAAACAGGGGTCTCCAGTGGCCCATTCACAACCCAAAGTAAGTTGGAGGTGGGAAAAGAAATGACCAAGCAAATTAGGTCCCATGTGGATGCAACTATCAAAGTAAAAACAGCTGGGAAGTCCAGAGGTAGGGTGACAGGTCAATACCAATTCTGTACCATGCAGTTAAAACCAGCTTCGCATAAGCCTGGACACCTGAGATCTTGGTCACCATTGCTATCATGTTAGCCAAACATTCCGCTGGTGCATTCCAGCTTGGCTTGGCCTGGCTTCTGAAAACTGTTGCTGAAGCAGATTCAAGGTTATGTAACTGGCTGTGTTTGCACAGGAACTCCCTTGGCCAAGCCTGCTCAGTGTTATGATTCAGTGCAAAACAAAACCCAATGACATTTTTCCTCTTCCTTTTCTCTGCGGCAAAGCTTTTATAAGGCAGGTTCTTGCAGGCCCACCTAGGTTGGCCATTGGCATCTGGTTCTATCACATGCATTTTTTAATTTTTTTTTTACATTTGGAAGAACAAGCTTAAATAGCACATTTAGTTTTTTAAAAAAGAAAAAGATGAATAAGAAATCCAGGCATGTAGTTTTAGTTTTATAATCACGGCATCCCCTCCGCGCTCCCCCTTTTGATCACACAAGAGCGTCCTTGCTACAGAGAAGGGAGTACAACTTGGGAGACAGGGAGGAAAAAGGGAAACCTGTAGGACTCTTCAGATTAATTCTGTATTTTATTTAGACTTCCTAGTGTGGGGGAGCTTTTCTCCCAGGGCCTCCTTCTTTCCCTTCAATCCAACTTTACAGCACCAGAGAGACTAAACTTTCCCACGGACAAGGAGAAAACCAGACAAAATATAATGACAGACAATGCTGGTTGGAATCTCAGTTCAGGCTGCTGAAGGTTACTTATGCCAAGCCACACAAATCGGATGGGAGGCTGATCATCCAGTGGGGAGGATGGGGGAAATGCACTGGTTTCTTATTTATTTATTGGATTTCTATCCTGCCCCTCTAGACCAAAGGTCTACTCTGGGCGGTTAATCTTATTTGCCTTAACATCATCGTTACTCTATCACAGCACCTGTGTCTCATCATGACAGAACGTGTGGCTAAAAATATTGCAAATAAATAAATAAATAAATAAATAATAAATATATTGATCACTTGCAATCAACTATAAGGACACAGAAATTGCAGTGATACCTGTGAGAACAGGTGCAGGCGTCCACAATTATTACTATAATGTGTAAACGTCAAAAATGGGTAATCTACACTATATCAAATAAGATTAGAAGGAAAATCACAGTAGTAAGAGGACATGATGAGCACAAGAACTGTAAAGTTTTGGCAGTTGTAAAACATGCTGTTTTACATAGCCTACTTCATAATGCTCCTGCTGGTATTTGCACTACGGCTGAAAAACCAGTGAAGTAGCTGTATTTTTCAGCATCAGTGGCTATCGGACCATATGACAATCTGGTCTCGATGACTCTTTGGCCAAACAGATGCCCCCAAGAAACATACAGGCAGGCTATGAAGACAGTAGCTTTCTTTTAATGACTTGACTAGGGCTGGGTTTGTTGTGGGAAATGGTGTTAAATGCTTAGACTTGTTAAAGTTTTTCCTCTTTTGCTTACTAAAAAGTATAGTTTAGAAGAATGAATCCAATGGGTATCCAGAAACAAAAAAGACACTGGTGGACAAGATGCTATTTAAAAGTCTCAGTACGCCTTTGTCCCCTTGCTGGGACAGGGGACAAGCTGGGAGTTAGCATGAACCTACAATGAACTGGATTTTTAAGCCCTCTCTTAATAAACATTAGAAATTAAGCCTTTTGCAGTGATAGCCAAAGCTGTTTTTTTTTTCTTGGAGGTCTTTATGGAAAGGGGGTAAACTGGCAGAAACTGTGAGAAAAAACATACACTTGAAAAAAACATGGGATGGAAAGCAGAGCAAAAACTATCTAGGATCCCCACTCTGTTTTTTTGCTTTGCACAATGTGGATTTAAGTTTACTCTTTTTTGTTCTCATTGCAAAACATCTTTTTTTTAAAAAAAACCTGCACAGGCCACATACTTCCTTTCACAGGAATACAGTTTAAACATGATGCACAGTATAAATACACGCGACTATTTGCATAGCTTTTCCCATTAGTATCAGTTCAGGGGGAAATTTATCTGGAAGTTAAAATGAATCATAATCGGGACTTTCATTTCACATCATTCTTGTCTGTGCCCTTCTGAAGAAGGGAAAAAAACTGTTCACATCAACAGAGCTCCTTTCTGCCTGCCGGTGACAATTCAACTGGAGACCCTGCACATGGTGTCATAGATTTCCTGTTCAGAAATTTTTGCCCAAGGCGTGGTGACAAGCCAGCGCATTTATCAGGTAGTTTTATGAAACTAGCCTTTTAGCTTAAGACAGGGAAATGACATGGGACACATGGACCTGACTGAACGATATCCAACTTGATTATGTACATGGATGCATCTTTCCCTTGAATTAAAAGCCATACGCCTGCAAAACCACAATTTAAAATGCCTCCCCCTCTATAGTTTCAGCAATGTATGCATGGCTTGTTGTTGCTTTCCAGATTTATAAAAACTGTTAAGAAATCAGAAAAAAAAAGGGGGGAACCAAGCCATGTGTTTTCTTGGTTGTAAATGCAATTAGAACAAAACAAGCATATCTAACAGTTGTTAATGTGCTCTTTTGCAATTTCTCCCGATCAGAACAGTGAACAGGCTGCATCTAGAGCTGATGCTACAGTATTGTCTTACATGGCTAAAAGAGATTGAACACCATTAAAGTCCATGTTTTGAAAGAGAAACATCCAATGCTATTTACGAACATTATAGAAACCTCACTTTCAATAACTCAGGAGCTAATGTCAATAAAATATCAACACTCCTTAGCGTTGTTGCATGGAGTACAGAGATTATGTAAGCAAAGTTTTCTGAACTGTCCAGAACGCCATATAAACATTATTTACTCTATGGGAGGACCTGAACTGGTTTCTCTCTCCTCCAGATTTAAAGCATGCCCCACAATGGCTGTCAAGGAGACAAAATCAAAACAGGGGAAGGAAACATCAGAAACCAGATGTTGAGCCAATGAGAAAATCCCTACAGACAAAGGCAGGCATTAGTAGTGACCGTACATATAGTAAAAATGTACACTGTAGGGTGGTACCAATAGAAACCTGACTGAGGGAATTTTCTAAGCCTGGCATGTGCCCTTTCTATGACATTTCTAAAGGATTTCTGGCCATCTTCAGAGATGACACGTGAGCAGCCAGGAAGCCGCGCAAGGTTTCTGAACCCATGTCTGCCCCCCCCCGACTCCTGGGGGGAACAGAAACACAGATTTGCTTGTTTTCGTCTCACCTCTGGGTATTAGTCATCACTGTGATATGTTCAGAAAGTCATGACAAAGCAAGTGAGACTAAACACGCTCCTCTACATTTCACATCTCTCTCACCGAAAAATCTAGGCTAGCCCAGGCAATACATACCCCACCCTATCACCTTTAAGTGCACACATTTTTGGTAATTTCCCCGTCCTCCCTCTCTCTGGTTTTGCTCTGAATTGCTCCAGGGAGCTAAACATCAGACATACTCACGATATGGCTACATTGCTGCCATCTATTATTATGTACTTTAGGCCTGCTCTCCCTGGCTCGTTTTTCAATTCCAGCTTGTACGGGATTTTCAAAGACTCTTGGAACCTCTGAACCCCAGTCACTGAAGGGTCAGCACGGTGATCTTGTGATACCACTGCTCTCCTTTCAGGATAAGGTGTCGCTAGTTGGAGAGGAGGTCCAGAATCAGGGAGATGATTGGGAAGTTTTTGGGAAGAGAGGTCTCTTGTTCTGAGCTGCAAGGCAGTACTATGTCCATGTTGATTATGCGTCGAAGCCGACTGTTCAGCCCATGGATGAGGAACCCCAGTTTCTTTGTCAACCGGTGGGCGTGGTGTCTCTGAGGCACCTCTTGCTAGTAAGCTGGGACCTTTCTGCTTCCCATCTTTCGTTACCCTTTGTATATGGCCATGTGCATCCAGGAGACCATTGCTTTCGGCACCACTTGTTTGGGAAACAGGAGAGTCTTCAGAGCAGCTGGAACATGCTCTGCTGTGGTCTCTGTGTGGCAGATTTTTACTGCCTGAAAGCACTATCTGATTTTCATGGTTTGACACATGTGTTTTTACTTCAGCTCTGTACTGGGACTGGGGAACAGAGATTTTATCTGCTTTTTTATTTCTGGAAGACTCTTTTTTATGGACTTGGTTGTTATAATTCCTTTCCTCTTTCTCTACCTGTGTCTGGGGTATGTCAGCAACCTCAGCTTCTTCTATGGATCCCTTCTTGCTCTCTTTCTCAATTTCCTCCAGAAGTACCAGTGGCTCGACCAACGGCCCATAGTCTCCAATCACTTTTTCTACTATTTGTTGGGAGTAGCCCATGCTTTTGAAGAAGTTCACCAAAATCTTGTACTCCGTTTCCTCACTTATTTCTTCAGCTTCTTTAGCACACGCACCTGGGCCATCGGACTCGGTGCATTCATCGCTGACCAGATCAATCACCTCAATGTCCTGACCGGGAGGAGTGCTGCGCTCGCCATGCCTGCCCTCCTGGCCAATTTCGAAGGAAAACTGCTTCTTTGGAAGCCTCTCCTCAGCGTCGGATGACCTCCTTTTGCATGAATGCCTCTCTTTGCTTGTAGAGGTCTCTAGTGAATTCAGACCATTTATAGGTAAAAAATGTCCTTCCGGTGCATTGTGGAAAACGGTGTCCATTTTCCTGGCTAACTCACTGACTGGGGTACCTGCTTTGTTTCTTGCTTCCTCTTCGCCTGTCCTGTAGTCACTGTTTATCCCAGATTTTTTCTGCACTTTGTTGGATAAAGGTGCTGGTGTTTCCTCTGTACTAGAAACATTTATGATTTTATCTTCTGCTCTGCAGCCTTCATTCTGAGCTAGGCTGAGTAGCTCTCTCTTCAAAGAACTGGGCAAGATCAGCAAATCCATGGTATATTTATCCGCATAGGCTTCAACCAGCTGCTTGAACTGTTTCTTCACTTCTGATTCTCTACCATTTGATAGGATGGTGTTGTTTTTAAAGAGACTCACAAACTGCTGGATATGGCTTCTGGCCATGACGACGGATTCTGCACCGCCCTTAATATTTATCGTCCCTATCTCTGCAACGGTAATATCGGCAGAGGTCCCCTGAATAAGGCAGTTCAGGAAGAGATTCTGGGCTCCTACAAAAATGCAGTGCATGTCTTTCGGATAATATTCCTTCTCCTCCAATTCTGGTTCACAAAGGCCTTTAATGTATTCCTGTAACAAGGGAGAAAACAAGAGACAAGTTAGGGTGATACGCATTTCACAATTCAGGAATTTAGACATGACCTCACTTAATTTTCTCCACAGCTTCAGAACGAATGAACGAACAGACAAACGAACGACCAGACATTTGTGCATGTCCTGGAGGCTGCATCTTGTAACTCAGAGCAGGGCTTTTCATTTGTGTTAGTTCTGATCTGCTTGTGGCAAACAAGGCACAAAACACACACACACACACAAGAGAGAGAGCGAGAGAGCGAGTGCTCAGTAAAGTAAAACAGTTAACAGTAGACATGCTAGGAGCATGTCTGAACCTTTACTACAGATTTGAGATGAAGCAGAGTTGCACAATGAGCACACACTCCTATCACTTATTATTAATGTAATGTTCTCTGGGGTTTCGAAGAGAGCAGGCAATTTGTACTCCAAGGGAAGCATAAAGGGGTAACCTTTGTCACAACACACTACGTGTGACACCTCCAGCTGGCATACTGCAGTTGGAAAAGCTTGCATGCCTCCACTTGACAGGGCAGCTCAGAAACCCCCGAGGCATCATTATACCTCAGACTGCTTCTCTGATGGGCAGGGGCTGGTGCTCCCCACAACACAGGTGGAATTCAGTCAAAACACTTTTGAAATAACATTATAACATATGGTAACAGCAACGTAGTGGGCAAATGCTCTGACAAATTTACTAGAGGTGAAGGAGCACCTTCCTACAGACCCGCAAAGCTCAAGATCACAGCTACACCCCACCCAGATTTTTATTACATTTCCCCTGAAACCTCTTCTTTGTACGCTATCTCTGTTTACCTCTGAATCATGATCCAATCTCCTACTTATCCACGCTTCCATTTCCTCCTCCTTCTATGGTTCCCCACTTGTGTATATTTGTATTGCTCAGGGACACAATGCATACACCAACCCTTCATTTTACTCTCAGAACAAGCCTGGGAGAAAAGTCAGATGGATGGGAGTAGAGGAGGAGAGAGAATGGCCTATGAACATCAGTGGCGGAGCGGAAACTGAACCCACACCTCCCCAACACTAGGCATTTGCTATGTGTCATGGACACTGAAATCCACAAAACAACCACATGTTATAGATCGTAAAGCTATGGACTTCTTCCTGAGAAATCACAGTGAGCTTTATCATCACCCTTACACCACTAATTGACAGAGAAATGAGCAATCCACTGAACCCAGGGCCTTTCCATCCGGGAACCAAATCCTCCTTCCTCCCCCGTCTTCATACAAGCTCTCATAGAGCACGGAAGCTACCACCAGAATTCCCTTCACAAGGAATTAACATGTCAGTGGGAATGTGGACAGGAATCTTCTCCCTCACCACTGACCTCAAATAGCCTGGGCCGTGCTATCACAGAGCCATTTCCTCTTCCTTTTGCATCATCCCAAGATTGCAGCCATGGGATCAGGGCAAATAGGGAACTGGCTCCTAAATGCAAATGCTACACTGGAGGCAGGCAGTACAGGCATTCAGACTGCAAGTTCCAAGTAAAGGGTGCCCTCAAGTTTCATTCAACTATCAGACGTTTGGGCTGCAGGCCGGCAGCATCTATCTTGTGCTGCATCAATATAGTAATCATATATAAGAATATGTGCCCAAAACATGAAAAATACAGAAGTATTCTAGTGGACTGCAGCTGGCTTAGAAGAGAATGCTCCACTATTTTTTTTAAAAAAAGCATCTTCAAAGCATTTGCCTCTTAAAAACTGAAGCAATATAAATTGCAACATTCTGGTTTTACCCCTAAAAAATAACTTGGGAGATTTCCTAGTAGTAAAACCGCAATTGGGCAATTGTTTGGTAGTAAAACAGAAGTCCTAAGGTCATGTTTCCCACATTTCAGTGGCTCTTGTACCTAGTCTTGCATTCAAGTTTTTGGCTGGATATGTCCCCGTGGGTCGCAGTAAGGTCAGTATATTGCAACTCACTCTATGCGGGACACTCTTTGGAGAATGACGGTTGTAAAATTTCAAGCAGTTTAGAACATGGTGGCAATGGTCTTCGCTAGGGCAGGTTTTACGTGGTTTTTATGGGCTCCTGATTAATTCCTGAGCAGAAGTGCAGGTGCCGATGCTTATCTATAAAATGCTAAGTCCTCAAGAATAATCTGCCATTGCACAAACCTACAAGCCTTTCAAGAATGTCTTCGTAGCATTGTGCCTCTGTTCCTAGGCACGTGGCAATAAGAAAAAGAACTTTTTTTTTATGTGAACACAATATGGGATAGTGCCAACTTTGTTATTACAAGTGTCATGTGAAGAAGACGCGCAGAGGGCAGTGGGGTAGGCTGCAACTGTCTCCAACATCATTCCCAACTGATTCACTAGCAGGTATCAGGGTCCGTCCCCTCACAAATAACTGCTTTACAAAGAAAAGAAAGAAGAAGCAGACAGTAAGGCAAATAGTCATCAACTCTGCAAACCAGCTATTTAATAATCATGTGCATTTTTACTGTTTTGATTTTTTTTCAAATATTGCCCAGTGAGCTTTGTTGCCTAAAAAGCAGAGATATGAGAATAAATAAAAGACAATTATATGACTAGAGACAGGGGCTTTTTACCGGTAGCACCCCAAATATCAAGTACTGTATTCTCCCTTGAGGGGCTTGCCAGATGTCTACATTGCAATCTTTTTAGTACCACTAAAGACCTCTTTATTTGCAGTCTCAAAATTTCCTAAATGGTTTATAGATCCTTTATCTGATTTTTTTTAATTTGGAGTTTTATGCTCTACACAATTCTCATTGTTCTGCTGTTTTGAATCCATCTGCAACCGCTTGTTTTCTACGCAAACAGGTTGTTGTTTTACAGCTTAATGTGATGAATGAACCACTTGCAGAACATGCATTACAAAGTGACACAAAAGCTATAAAGTAAAAAATGACACATGGGTTTGGTGAATGTTTTGCTTGAAGCTAGCAGTCACTAGGGCCGTTAATTTTCACACTGGATTGCATATTTTACTGTTAGGATGTAAGATGCAATAAAGCAGAGTAAAAATGATTTAAAACAGGTCCAGCTTTAAACGGAATTCATCACCTGGGGGCCAAGGTGTTCCACTGCGTAAGGCGAGGGATAACGTCTCTCCCCTCTCGATGTAAGAAACCCAATGAGACTGGCTGCTGGATCTAACTTCAGCAATGGTGACAGAGGACAGTGAAGCAGGCTGGTTTAGGACGCACACGCCAGGCGAGCAGGGACCTGCAGCTCTTTATTCCAATACCTTGTTGCTGCTGTGCAACACCCTTGGCGTTTGCCACCTAAGACAGCTGCCTCACTCTAACGGTAGGGCTAGCCCTGTTTAAAATTATTAAATCAACTACTATGCTTTTTTCTGTATTGCCACAATGCACCACTTGCCTGAACAGAACTCTTTTCGATATACAAGGGGAATTCTCCACTCCAGTTTATACAGTGTTTGCACAACAATACCTCCTTGCAAATTCCTAGCATGTATGCATGCTCATTAGGGAGCCATTCCTGGATGCAGCTATGCAAGGAGGGCATTTAGTGGCAAACTTTGATTTGCCGCTAGCTAACATGCTAATCCTTAACCCCTTTCTTTAGGCCCACACAACTCTTTTGCTCATCTAGCATAATCTGATTCAGGTTGTAGATCGAAACTTGAAAAGATTGCAAAATAGCATCAAACTTCTCAGATACATCTGCAGTGTACAATAATAAAAAAAGTAAATGCCATGTTAGGGGTTTTTAAAGAAGCCACGTGTCGCTATAAATACATCCCATCTTATGTGATCTTGCTATTTCATCGCTTTGTGGGCTAATCACCTTTCCTCTTTCCCACGTTCCGGTCACATCAGTCACAATGAAACAGAATTGTCTGAGGGGGCAAAGCAGGCCCTGCACATTTATTCAGAGCTGAGTAAATGCTTACTAATCCCAAGAATCAACTCTATCAACATAAGCCAAGCCCAGGGCTCTAGATTTTTATCCCTAATCACCAATATCAGGGCAAGAATCCAAAGAGCTATTTTGGGTGCACTGAATGGGAATATTTTCCTTTGAACAGCAGCCACCTTCCTCCACGACATGTCATCAACTGCTCTTAAGTTCCCTGCATCAACACCAGGACCATCCCATCAGTTTCAAGTTATCTGATGCACTGAGCAGCTGTTTTTTTCCCAAAAGTGCAAGTTAAAAGTCTGTGTAGCAGTTTGGACCCCAGAGAGTTAACAGCACACAGGCAGACAAGATGCGTGACAACAGACAAATCTTGATAATAAGAAGTATATTGCACCAATTTCATTGGAAGATGGGAACTGCAGTCCACCAGTTCAGGAAGGCGCTAGTTTGTGGAAAACAGCCTCATACCAAAATGGTGAATCCTGAAACCAAATACAGTATGAATTCTGAAACCAAAGTGATGGTTGCCTGCCTTTTGCTAATACTACATGCCTCTCTCACCTACATCTCCTCCACCCAACCCAACCCATCCTTGCTTGTAAAGCCAGAACTGCCCTCTTAACTACATTTACTAACAAAGTTCAGGAGTAAATGGCAGAGTCTGCCCCCTTCATATTGGAAGCCAACAATGGGGTACAATCAGGAAACTGTGATGGCGACACAATACTGCTTAAGGAAAAGGGTGTCAAAGCCTGAGCTTCCCTCCCTCCCTCTATTATCCTTACATGCCAGTTTTTATGCAAATATCAAGCCAACTGCTTGCTAGCTAGTCACCAAATCAGCAATCTCTTCCTCCTTCTATAGACTCAGTTCAAATATTTATGTTAAGTTCAAACAGGCAATGGACAGAGAACCTGGGGAGAGCAGGAAAACATATATATGCCAGGTTGACAATCTCAATTAAGACAAAAGCAGACAAGACTGGGATCTACAATCCTACTTTCCACTGTCTTAATCAGAAACAAAAGGCTACCGCTACAGTACTTTCCCCAGCCTTTCTGCCCCGATTACCTACTCCTCGGACCCCCACTGAAATTCAGTGCCTTATATTGTCACTCCAATGCTGTACTGCCAAAATTAAATTTTTTTTGCGGCCATCCCACAAGATAGCTGGTGTCCTAAGAAAATAGTGACAAAAGGTGGGCGGCGTTGCTGTGCATTAACCACATGTAAACAAAAAAAGGGAAATAAAAATTACATTGAAAAGAAGTGGAGATGAGTTAATATATAGCATATATACACTCAAAATGCTATTAAAAATCAATTATGTATTACAGATTAAGTTCAAGGTTGGGCCCCTGATCTCGGGAAGACTCCTAAATTTACAGTAGGCCCTTATAAAACAGTCAATTTTTCACCATATCTATTAATACTGAATATTTCATATTTCTTAATAAAAAGCTTCCTCTGCTTGGAAATCTGTATTGTGCCTGGATGAGAAACTATAAAAAACGATTCTCCTCTTTCCCCTCCTGTGTTTACTGTATTCTCTGTACATAAAGAATAGGAAATATATCACTCTGACGTGAGCGCAATACACAAACTATGTATTTTACTCATGGACAACTTAACACGTGCTTTGTTCACACACACAAAGGGAACTATGAGGAAAACCATACTTTAAAGCCTTAATGCTCTTGAGTTAATTAACTACCACGTTAAGTCCTGCAGGCATACCATTAAGTCAACTGCAACCTTCGCAAGACAATAAGCTAAAACATCTCCCTATAAGTTTGCGTGCATTTGTCTGTATAGCCAGCTCTCAGCAAAAGACCAAAGCATCCGGCAAAATACTGCCAAACAAGGCACTGCACTCATGAAGGAAGAACAGAAACAGAAAGCAAAACTGGAACATCTCAACAGCCCAACAAGCTTCTTCAAAACGAGGGAGAAACTGTGTGTAAACTATACATACGAACTTACAAGAATAATTTACAAACAGAAAAATTTAAGCAAAAATTTTCAGTTTCCACCTTCCTTTGCTGGTAAACTATGTATTGCATACGTATATACATATATGCACATCTATATGTGCATATATGTATACATACATATAATAAACACATGCACGCATGTAAACACATGGTTTCAGTTTCTGCCTTCTTTAGTTGGTCTGGTAAGCTACGTATTGTGTCTGTATATACATATATGCACACACACACATATATAAGCACATGCATGTATGTAATCACATGCACATACATATACAGTGTGTAGATATACTTGTACACACAAATACATATATAAACTTATAATACATTTGCAAACATATAGATATGCATCTAATCCATAAGCACATGTGCATGCATACAGATACGTACACAGCCACACATAATACATATATAAAAATATGCACATGCATATATACATGCATGCAAACACATACTTGCACACACATACAACACACATATAAACACGCGCATATGCACGTGAGGCGAACGGACAAAGCTGCACACCTATAGAGACACATCTCCATTCAGATTCAGAAACACACACACACACACTATCTTGCAGGGAAAAGAGGCACAAGGGGGGGGGCAGGTAACCCCACCACGTTGCCAGGAGGGCGCGCCTTGAAGGGAGCGTGGAAAGGGGGCAAAAGCAAACCCCCTTGGTGTCCCTTCCACACGGGGACACGGACACACATACACACACGCACACAGACAGGATTTAAGACCCGCAGCCCCCCAAAAGCGCACCCCACCGGGAGGGGGGACACACCCCCCCCCGCGCCGCCCCTCCTCTCCTCTCACCTTGGCGCCGCGCACGGCCTCCTTCTCCCCCCAGAGGCTGAGCCAGATCCTCCGCCCGTCGGCCGGAGCCCCCGGCATCCCAGAAGAACCAGCCTGTGTAGTCATGGGAGAGCTACATGGTCCCAGGATGCCCCCAGATGAATGGAAGGGCAAACCACTTCTGACTAGAGATGGGGGTATTTGTATACAAATCTGAATACCCCTGCACAGGTGAATAAGAGAACAATAATTAATAAATGTGTGTCATCAAGTCAGTTCTGATTTATGGTGACCCTTTTCAGGTTTTTCTGAGTCAATAGTAGTCAGAAGTAGAGACAGGGGTATTTGTATATGAATATGAATACCCCCGCACAGGTGGACATAATAAGGGTCCAGCCCCATGGGACCAAACTGTCCACTCACCTTCTGTCACATTCCCAGGGGTTACAATAGCAGAGTCCAATAACCGCCTCCGGGGAAACTCCCCCCTCCCGCCTTCCCTCCCTCACACCCCGGAAGCGCTCTTCCGCATCGCTAAGCAACCGGTGACGCCACCATGAGGCGCCCGATGCGACACACAAGGCGGGACCCCGCCCACTGACCGGGCCGCCGCCCCGCCTCCGCCGCCGCCATCTTTAGTAAGGGCGTGGAGGGCTCTTGGGTTTCCCCCTCCGAGGCCACGTTCGACATTTTGGTTCAGGGAATTCCGGATGCTTTCCCCTCTTCCGCCCCCTTCTGTCAGTCATCCACTGAACATAGGGATGTGTTTTTGTATACGTATAAACACCATAGGTATCAATACCCATAAAGGAAGTAAACAACAGGAGCAAGGGTTCTAGGAAGCTTACACATATTGCCACACCTTATTTATTATAGGGTCCTATATTAATTTTTGCTCCAAAAACGCATTAGGGCTTATTTTCAGGGGATGTTTTATTTTTACATGTACAACAATCTACATTTATTCAAATACAGTCATGTCATCTTCTGGTTGCTGCACCAGGGTGGAGGGCAGGGTTTCACTTAACTGGGTCTTATTTTTGGGGTAGGACTTATATTACGAGCATCCTGAAAAATCTTACTAGGGCTTATTTTCAGGTTAGGTCTTATTTTCAGGGAAACAGGATATCGCTTTACCAACTGTGTGGGAAACACTCATTATCTTTGTATTTTTATAAATATTTACACGACACCATGTCTGGTTTGGCAGCTGGAAGCCTGTGAGTAATGGCAACAAACACAAAAATTAATAATAGGTAGCGCATTGGAATCACGTACAGATGCACAGAAGGAATGACTGGTGAGAAATAATGAGCCATGAAGCAATATGGCTCAAGGTCACCAGGAGAAGTTCAGAACCAACCCCACATTCAAATTCAGTTCTCCTTGCTCCTACTCTGAATCCACCACAGTGGGTCCTCCTCACATACTGAGGCAGCATATTCCATAGTTTACTGTGTGAGGAAATGTTTTGACTACGGATTTCAATTGTCAATGACAATGATGGCAATAACTGAAGACATTTACTACAATATAACTCTGTGGTTTAGGCATCTGGTTGGGAGTTCGATTCCCCCCTGGGCCTCCTTGATAGGGGCTGGACTAGATGACCAACAGGGTCCCTTCCAGCTCTGCAAGTCTAAGATGATTATGAGCTGCTGGATAGTTTAGAGATCTGGCTGTGGTGCCAGAGGTTGGGAGTTCAATTCCCCCATTGGGGGGGGGGAACGTTGGGAGTTCAATTCCCCCATGGGGGGGGGAAACAAGGGCTGGACTCAACAGTCCATAGGGTCCCTTCCAGCTCTGGAGTTCTGAGATTATAAAATGGATTCTCAGCTGCACAGTAGGGGAATTCTTGGGTGAAGGGATCAACAGGAAGTTGATTAGAGGCAGGTTGGTCTTACACGCATGATTAATTCCATGCAGTCAATGCACTGGCACGCAATTTATTTCTGTTGCACTTACGCACCCTTGCTTCCTTCCTCTCCGACTTATTCTGGTTATACAAATGCGTATATGCACTGCTTGCTTGCCCGTCCTCGTCTACCCTGTTTATTGTCATACTTTTGCTCTGTAGGGTAGTTTCAGGCTCTTAGTGCCATCAGCTGCTCATTACAAGTAAGTGCAGCTATCAGCAACGAAATGGATGCAGACCGTTATTACGCATAACGAGACAGCAAAAAACATAAACAAGAGCTGCCAAACTTGGAAAACACATCTATGGGAATCTAGCTGTACTTTCATGTATAATAATAATCCCAATAAGGCCGACATCTTCTCTAAAATGTGTGTGTGTGGGGAATCCTCACAAATATTGAATTATTTCACCGCATCACATGTGTAGTTTAGGAGGCAAATCCTAAAGTCGAGGTAGCATTCAATGTTTGCACAGTTTTGAGTTGCTTATGAGGTGAGATTCAGATGTGGAGACTGTCCCCCTAAGGGCGAAATGCAGGTTGCATGCAGACGTGTGTAGGCAACAGTACAGAGCCTAAACATGTTAGTGGATTTGAAAGGGTTTTGTTTTACCCTAAGTGCTCTCTCACTAAGGCCCTAAAGGTCTGGCAAAAAAAGAGCCATGTTTTGACCCAGCACCAGCAGGACGTCAACACCAACACCCGCTGAGCCTGTCTTTGGGTGGAGGACACTTCACCACCAAGGCATAACAGCAGGGAAGATTCTGCCTCGTGCCTTCACAAAGTACATTTTTCACACTGATGGGACACAGAGAGTGGCATCTCCAGCAGATCTCAATGGGAGAGCAGGCATATGCAGGAGAAGTGCTCCTTTGCATATCCTGGCCATGGTTGGTTAAATTCACAGTCCAACATTAGCTCATTAGTTCATTTAGTTCCTTATAACGAGAGTCTAAAGCTACTTTCTTGTCTCCTTTCCGGAATGGTGCAGAGAGACTTCTGGAGTTATTGCAAACTCACATGCTGTCTTTAGTAAGTGTGGCTGGGAGGAGTTTTTTGGGCTGGGATGATTGACAATGTATTCAGCCCTAACCATTAGTGCCTCCCTGCCTATGAATTCAAGGAGAGCCCTGCCTCTCGGCTCGGTCTCGCTCTTCTTTGTTGTCTGTTGAGAGTTGGTTAGTCTGTTGAGGCCTGTTGTTCAAAGCAGTCATGTTTGCCATCTTGCTGTTTATCTGTTCACAACTGTAAGTAATGAAATGTTTCTATTCTTTCTCCTGATAATATCTCTGAGTGAGTTATTGAGACTGTAAGTGCCGGTTGATGAGAAAAAGGAGTGGTCTACTTTGGGGAACTTGAAGGTAATCCTGCTCTGTGATTCCCCAGAACTTCTGTTGCGCCGCTAGAGGAATTTCACCAAAAATGCTAAACTGCATCAGAAACAATTGCACACATATATTACACTATAACTGAGTTCCCGGATATGCTACCCAAACACATTATATCATTGCCTCTGGGCATCCACTTCATCTCTCTCGCCCATTGTTAAGCACTCCAAAAAACTGTCCATGTTAGACGAAGAAGAGGAGCGAAAGCTTTTCCAATTACAGTCGCAGTGGTTGTAGAAGCCGGGCATTTTGCAGTTTTAATGGAAGGACTCGTCATCTGCTTTTGAGAGGCACATTTTGTGTGTTTCCCGGTAATTAACTATAAAAACCTGCAGGTGGACTGGCATGTGCTTCCTTGGCCGTGAAAGAGCCCTGCAGAGAGACGTCTCTATGCCTCTGTGTGCAAACGAGCCGTATTTTTTTCATATGGCGAGGAGTCGCATGACAGCTCCCTGGTTTGTGTTTCCCCTGCAAAGGCTTTCGTTCCCAAAGAGAAAGAAGAAGCAGAAGTAGAAGAAGCGCTTCCAGTAGGATCAAGTGCTAAATTATTAAGATACCAGCACGACAGACAACTTATGCTGCCATTGTAAAGCAGCTGGCTTCGAGGTATTCTTTCTCTCTTGCCCACCCCGACGTGGAAATGTTGCACACAACACTTTCTGGAATCTTAATTGCCAGCCTCCAATGAGTTGAAAAGAGCATTACACGGTTCAGAAACTCTGCCATAACAGCTTGGTTGTCCGTGCAGATGTAAGAGGAAATTGCCAAGATCTAAAGAGGTATTTAGTTGTGTTTTTTTTAAAAGGCTAGCAAGGGTTTTGGCAGTTCCCATTTCAACGGCTCTCTTTCTCTATCACAAACACAGGCGCACGTGTACCCGGGCCGTACTGTAAACTGCTTTCTGAAACTTCTCTTCAAAAGGACGCCGTCTGGGCAGGGGGCCTGGGGCTGGAGGTCTTGAGGGGAATAATAAAAATAATCCAGGATCTTGTGGAAAATTGCTCGGGGATTTACTGATAGAAAGGGACAACCCAAATGTTCAGGGGTGAAAGTAATGTCCCTGCAAGGAAAGGTTCCCCTCAATAAATAAAAATCTGAGAGGATGTGATTTTCCAAGTTACCTATGTAAGTCCCATGTTAGCAAGCAGACATGGAAAAAAACAGGTAGGGGGCCATATTAGACAAATGAAAGGGATTTGGAGAACGCTCACTAAATTCACTCTCCTTCTTTACCAAGGCTGTCTTAACACAGTAAGATGCCTCTATGAGGAATAGAAGATTCTTTCCCTCCAGCACAAGGAGCTCTTCCCTGAAAAAAAAAGTCTGTTATTTTTCCAAAAGACCTATGTAAAAAGCTGAACCCAATGAGAAGCAAAGCGCATACAGACAGCAAGTACAGATGGGCTGGTTGACTGTCGAAAAAGTTGCGAAAATCCCCCCCCATCAGATTCTGAAATATTTTGGAGGTTTTGCAACCTTGTATGCTGCCTGGAGTAGGAATGCCTGGGAGGGAGGGATCTTGTCGAGCACTAACCAATCATTCCATCCCGCCCCTGAATTCAAAGAGAGTCCTGACTCTTTGCTCTGTGTCCTTTCCCACTTCTCTGTTCAGTTGGTTGTTTGCTGTTGATTATGTTTACAACTGTAAGTAACCATGTTTTTTTAAAAAAATCCTTTCTCCTACAAATGTCTCAGAGCGAGTTATTGATCCATTACGCGCCAGTTAATAAAAAAAGGGTGGACTCTGGGGAATGTGTTTTTACTCTCCTTTGTGGATCTCTGTACATCTACTGCG